TGCGGTGGCGAGTGCTTGTAGTTCCAGCTAGTCGGAAGGCTGAGGCGGAAGGGTCAATGGAGACCAGCAGGTCGAGGCTGTGGTGACCGGAAGCGGCCACTGCATTCCGATCTGGGCGACAGAGTGAGACTCCAACTCAAAAACAAAACAAAACAAAAAAAACTTTGGTTGACTGGTTTGATCCCAAGGAGCAAATTCTGAGTGCCCAATCCCTCCAACATCAAAGAAACAGTTAATCCTTATTTTCACCTCTGCCTTCAATTGTGCCTTTTTGGGTCATGGGGAACTGGCAGTTTTCCATTGTCTAGACTGCTGTTTCGTTTTGGGGTCATAACTTAGCAGCAAGATTCATCTCCGGTTATGATTTTGGACAAAAAATCAGGATCAGTCTCCAACTGCTCCTTCAAAGCACAGCATACAGCCAAGAAATTGTCTTTTTGTTCAGACATGAGAAAGCAAGGTACAAATTTTGCTGAAACTTGTTTCATGCCTAAATTTGCAGAAAAATTTGCTGACAGGCTCCATGACACCCCAGTCAGCTCCACAAGTTCATCTATAGTCCAATGACAGCAGTCTTCAAGATGATTTAACAAATTCCTTTTATTTCTTTTCTTTTTTTCCTATTGATACTTAATTTTATTATTATTTTCCTTAAAATTACATTACTCAAAGTAACTCAAACATAAAATTAGCATTGGAAGAAAATCACTTTTGTATATTATTTAAACCTTGAGGATAAAATGCATGCAATACTTCTAATCATTTCAGAACGAATATGGCATATAAGGTGTAAAATGGATATTTATTTTTATTATTATCAATAGAAGATTAGAGTTATAGTAAGTTTCTCAGAAACTACTGTAACAATTTACTTCATGGTACAAAATCACCATATAAATTTTCCTGATGAAAGACAGATGGGGTGGCTGATATTTGTATGCTTATTTTCCAAATGCAGAATTCAATAAAGGGGTGTTGACAGAAGAAAAACTAACACGTGCAATGGGAATATATGAGAAATGTAATACTTTTTGTACATGATGTTAATAATTCCAATCTAAATTAATCAAGTCAATTAATATGTTGCAATAAGAAGAAACAGACTTCATTATCAAGGTAATCTAAGTATACGAAACTCCATCTCTAAATTGATTCCCTTTGAAAATTTTTCCCAAGAGCTACAGCTTCACCAGAAATGCTCACAGGACTGATCAGTAAATCTCATAGTATTACCAATGGACAAACTAACAAATAACAAAAGAAATAAATGGCCTAGCTGGGTACAGTACATAATCTTTTGAGATTGGCCTTTTATACTAAGCAATCCTTAAGATCTAAGTTATCAGGTATCGATGGCTCATTCCTTTTTATTGGCTGAGTAGTATTTCTTGGTCTATATGTTCCAGAGTGTGTTTAACAATGGAAAACATCTGAATTGTTTCCAGTTTTTGGCTATTACAAGAAAAGTTAATAAAAATATCTATAAGTTAAAAAATAAATAAAAATAAATGGCAAGGGTGAATGTCTTGGCTGCACTCACAAGTCACTTTCTATGCCAGGCTTGGCTGTGCGCACTGCTACTGCTCTACTTTCAAATTATTACAAAGCACAGGGACATTCTAACTATTAGCAAATGTCAAATGGGTCTTGTAAGAGCATGGCTTCTGAAATGAGCTTAAGGATTATTCAATATTTAATTTTGACTAGGAAATATTGTAGTTATAGTGGTTTTGTTTTATAACCTGGTTTCCACCAAAAAGATAACAGAGAAAACACAAAGGTGAAAGTGTGGGCAGGGAAGCTTGGGGCAGGGGTTATCTTCATTTTCTTGGTTAAGTGGGTACATTTTTTCCTTAGAGCTAAACAAATTTTGTTGATACTCAGCTGTCAAATCATCTGGAAGTGAAAGGTTTATAACAGCCAATTTATAATTATGTGAATAAAGATTTGAAAAGCATTTGATAGTGTGCTTCTAACATGTTTCTTCTTTCACCTGTATAGCTACATAAGACAGATCACTCTGCTCACGCTTGATCTCCCAGTCTATATCTGCTTTTGAATCACTGGAGTAAATTGCAAAGAGAGAGGAAGTTCTGGTCCACAACTCATCCATCTGAGTGGCTGCATTACACTGCCATTTTCCCAACACTTTCACTATGGTCTGAATACACTATGTGGGTGAGGGGCTTTTTCAGAGAAATCTGTGTCCTTCTGGGCACTAGGCCTTCTTCACAGTGAGCAGGTTCTGAAGAGACATTGCTGCACAGATGCTCAGCATGAACTCGTGTTTGCATGACTTCATTTTCATGTGTAATCTCAAATAAGGCTCAGAAGTCTTCTTGAAAATGGGAAATGGGAAGGAAGGTAGCAGTAACCAGATGCAAAACATGTGTAAAGAATGTTTAATATTGTCTGAGTCCAGGGGTTTGAGATCTGCCTGGGCAATTTGGTGAGACCTCATCTATACAACAAATGATAAAATTAGCTGGGCATGGTGGCCTGCGCCTGTAGTTCCAGCTACTTGGAAGGCTGAGGACGAAGGATAGCTTGAGCCCAGCAGGTCGAGGCTGCGGTGGCCGTCAGCGTGCCGCTACACTCCAGCCTGGGTGACAGAGTGAGACTCCTACCCTCTGGTTGCCAGAAGTGCCGGCCGGGGACCCCAAACCGCAGGGCTCCATATCTCCAATCTCTACCTCCTCCCTGCACAGCTCTCCTAGAGCCGGTAGACAGCGGCAGAGGGATACAAATTTCCAATTTCTTTTATTTTTTAATTAATTAATTAAAAAAATTATTACAGGCTGAGCCACCGAGTCCGGCTTCTTTTCTTTTAAAGATGTGGGATACAATTCAGGATTAGGTATACAAGTGGTCATCATACAGGTCAAGTTTGGGCCTCCCTTTGGTCCCCACTTTGCCTGGCTTGAAATCAGGTACCCCTATTGTTGTTATATGTCCCCCTTTCCTCCCCTGGCAATGTCCCGCTACTGCCAATCCCTTTCTTATAGTATTATAGTAAATGTTCAGGGTCCGCTTATGAGTGAGAACATGTGGTACTGGGTTCTTTCTGTGGTAGATCACTGAGTATGATCGACTCTAAATCCATCCAAGTTGCTGCAAAATCTTTATGTTTGTCCTTCTTTATTGCTGCATAATATTCCATTATGTACATGAGCTTGAGGAATTCCTACCATGTTTTCTTCAGTTCGGCTGGAATGAGGTTGGTCGTCAATTGACACCTCACCTCATTTAAAACGGGAAAACCATTCAAAAGTTTGTGTTTTACTCAGAACAGCGTCTTTCTAAGCTGTCTGTAGTCTAGCAACCGTGTAGGCCACATTTTTCCCAACAGAAAACCACATTTCACTGCCTCAGGTCGTTCTGTAAATCGCCCATCAGAAAACAGGAACAGGTGTTGAAAGATCTCCAAAAAAACTCAACTGAAGCCAACACTGCCTTTCAACGGGGTCCTGGAACACCTACCTGGTGGGGGAAGCCTGTACTCCAAGGGGTCCGCCCTCCAAAAGGTAATTCAGGGCTTTTTTGGGTACCCCCTTGTAAAGAGGAAACAGAAAGCTCTCAGAGGTTATCTAGCTGCTCGGGCTCTGGGGAGCGTGACGTGGCACAGACCCCGAGGGCAGGTACCAGTAGGTCGTCCCGGCGACCCATCAAGCATGCGCAGTCCGGACCCCGGAGTTGCTAAGGCCGGGAGGAAGACTGAAGCGCAGGACACAGCAGTAGCTAATCAGAGGGCTCCAGGTCCAGTCGGCCAGCCAATCCGGATCCGAGAGTGAATCCAGCCCCCGCAGCCAATCAGAGAGACGGCTCCTTTGGGCGGACTTTTCAAAACAGTGAAAACAAAACAAATCGGGGACCTTTAAAAGGTGCAATGCGGCCAGAAGAGATCTGCTTCCGCCCCTCTCGTCCCTCTCCCCCAGTCCCCCGGAATAAACCCAACTCCCAGATTCCGCCCTGCGCTCCGGAAGCAGGCGGGAGGACTGGCTCGGAGGGACTGAGTAGTGCAAGGAGAGGACACGCACCGAGGCGTGGGCGCGGGACTCTTTTTCAGCGGCTGCGACGGAAGTGGCAGATCCCTCCGCAGGGAGTCACGTGCCGCCCCTCGGGGGCGTTGGAAACTGAAAACAAACACTGGGACTAGCTCGGGCCTCGGCCGGCTGCGGCGGTGGCGGAGGGCCGGTATCGGGCGGGCGCTGCGCCCGGCGGAGGGTGGGCGCCCGGGACGCA